TTCCTCCTTTCCAAACGCGATCTTTACCAAGGAAGGTGCACGGGGCAGTGCACCTTCCTCCTCTTCCTATTTCCGTTCTTAAAAGTTATCCCACTACCAGCGCACTGGGAGCCGCGCCCTCACAACCACTCAGACAGCAGCCATCCTGGGGAAGAAAGTCGCGGGGTGAGAGAATAACGTCGTACTCTCCCATCCCCGATCACGCGGTAGTATCCGCCCATCTTGCTATTTCCTCTATCCGATCCCAGGAACCCGTGCGCTCGGCACACTGCTCTTTTCCTTGGGATTTGCCGCTAGGGAATGAAGTGTTGGAATTTGCGCGGCCCGAACAAGATTCGTAGGGGTTTTGTGACTTGAATGCTGGTAGTGCGATTGTGTGATTGGGGCTTTGTGGGGTATTTATTTGAACGCTATCACACAAGAGTGTCAAAGTATGTGTCACGCTTTCTGCGCACGGGTTTTGTACTTTTCCGTGCGCATTCGCGGGAGTGGGTAAGGTGGAATTTGATCCAATTTTCCGGGGACGGGGAAAGTAGACGAAAGTTTCGATGACAATCCGTAAGTGCTCTAATTTGTCATAGACATGACCAGTACCACCGGAGTTCAGTAAACAAGATTATTTCACAGCTCCGTTTCTGACCGACCCAGTCTCTTTTCTCTCCCTCAATCGTGGAGGCGTAATTGCGTGTTGGTGGTTGGCTCGGGTGTTTGCCTTCTAACTCGTGGGCCATCTTCTCGTTCGTGTTTCGAGGGTCCACTGTGGTGTAGTGAGGCACCGATGGGTGGGAAGCCGAGTAATGGGGAGGCAAGCGGTCTAGCGGGGTGAATTAAAATGGTGGGAAATAAATTGGCGAGTGATATGGAGTAAAGGGGGAGGACGAACTTTAAGGCAGCTAGGACGTATTCTATAGCCCTGTTATCAAACCTGGGCGATACTCATAAGGTATCTGCATGGCTCATATCGTTTTGTTTTCTCTTTCTTTTAGCTGAAGAGTTAGTCACGACTTAATGTATCTTTATAGGGGTTGCTCACGTAGAGACGGATATTGTAGCATTGGAAAGCCAGCACAACCAGATTTTAGAATCAGATCCCTTGATGTGGATCGAGTGCCAGATGATTGAGTAAATTGAGATCGAAAGTAGTAAGCCTGCGGTAGGTTCATAGTATTCCCTTTATATAAGACAGTGTGTATGCATGTTAATCCCCTAACTGACCTTCGTCGTTGCTCAGTTTTGTAGCGCAATTAGTCGCGTTCCCATCAATTTCATTGATGAAAGGATACCGGGCCCATAGGGTAGTGGTGTCGTAGGGGAGGCATGCTCCCTATACGATACCCCAAGCACGCAAGACTAGAGATGCCTTTATCGTCACCTGCGGTCACTCGCAAAACAGGATCAAAAGAAAAGGGGTCGTAGAAAGAAAAGATAACCAATCCCACCTTCTCCCCAGCAGAACACCAATTGGGCGTGAAGATATCCACCTGGAGAATCCACGTACAGCCACTCCTAACTAGTCACGGATATCCCAAATATAAAGCCACGCTCCCTTAGCGGGAGTCTTTCACAGACACTTTGTTGCAAAAGAGAAAAAAAAAACACAGTATGATAGAAACAAGACTTTTCCCTCGGTGTAGGGTGAGTAACACCAGTTCAGATTTCATCCTTCTAAATGCGCTCTGGAGGCAGACCAGTGCATCGCCGAAAGGTCCTAGGGGAGAGGGTGATTTCACTCTCCGTGGTTTTTTTTTTCTTTGACCTAAGAACGTAGGTTTGGAGATTTCTCTATTGAAGCGGATTCCCCCGAGTAGGATAGTGATATTCTTGCTCTGAACGACCAAGGTGATTCCTTAACCTCACTGACACTTAGGTATCCGGGTATCAAGCAAGCGCCCCGCATTCACACCGCCGGCCTAGAGACGTCTCTGGGGCACTGCGCCGACTTAGGGAAAGCATATATCCTACTAGCACCCCATCACCCCCAAACTCCTTCCACTGCGACTTCCTACCCCGTGCTGCGAGTGAATCCCACGCATCCAGGGGCCCAATAGCGCAAACTTGAGCACCTATGGGTTCGAAACCACCGACGAGAGAACAGAGTGTAAGGACTCAAACGTTTCTGTGGGAGCCATGAAGAGATACGGCAGAGGTATCGTGTGTTTACGGTTCTATATTTCGTCGATCCAAACCATCTCTTTGCTCTTCTCTGAGGAGGGGCCCATAGTGATTGGTCATGAATCGGCCTTTCTTTTTCTCTTTCGCGGTGGTTGGAACGGGGCCGAGTAGGTAGAGCAGGGATTATGAGTGACTGCATTGGGTGTGATTTTGGGGGGTTGCACTTTCTAATCACCCCGACTTCCTCTTGGGGAGGGGAGGAGACACCTTCGGACCCCGGGCTTGAGATATTGAAGATGAGTGAAGTTGTGTGTGACAAGGAGGGAAGGTTTAACTTCCGGTGGATCCAACGCCCGTTAGATAGCGGGTCCTAGTGTGTCGGGTGCTGCTTGGGCTTCTGCTGGGGATATGATACAAGTGCGCGCTCACCAACCACAGTTTAACCCCAGCCCCACTCCTCCCGGCAAGGGGCAGTTCGGGAGATTGCTGATGTGACCTACAAGCACCTGGTGCTTCCCTCCTACCCCCCAAATAATAATAATAATAATAATCAAGTTTCACTTCTCGAAGTCTGCGCGCCGGTGATTCCAAATCGGCAGACCTCTCAGGGGGCCGGTGATCGTTCCTATTACCCCTGGCTCTAGCTCCGCGGTTGCCGGATGAAAACCATGGGCTTTGCCCTGTCAAATGAATGCTGTATGGAGCCTGCTATTTAGCTGGCGACAAATACCGCTGCTGATACTGTAATTCTCCATCCTCGTCAGTATGAGTGGCACATCCCATTTCCAGTTCTCTTCCTATTACTAACTTTAGCCATGCAAATGTGAGCTCAGGAACTCACCTAGTCTAATAGTTTCGGGCTCTTCGCAAATCCACTCGACCATCGCACTTGGTCACCGCGACTAAGGGTTTGTCCGACAGTGATGAGAAGTTCCGGGAAAGATGATTCAGGCGTATCACCATCTGTTCTCAACTGTTTTTTTTTTTTAGACCCTTGTTAGGCTTGTGGATAATGTTGCGAGAGCACGACCGGGGTATTACGGGAGGCATTAGAAGGATATTTAGTGGTGGGGGAAGATGGGTGATTTTTTTTTTGTTTTTGCTTGCTTGCTTGGCTTCGGGGAATTGTGAGCTGCATGAAGCAGAGGCTTGCTAGGCTTATGAGTTGTCGTAAGCACTATGGTAACAGTTTAGATAGGGTTGGGGCGGGGAGGGGAGGCAACATTTGCGTGTGGGGAATTTGCTCCAATGTTCCATCTTCGGCGGACTATTGCGCGGAGGCGCCGTTTGCGGGGCATGGGGCGAGGCCGCACACCGCTTCACCCGCCCAAGATACACTGATATTGCCGTTACAGCCAATTAGCAAACTTTAAGGAGTCTGGGGTCTTTGGTATCGCCAGAACAGCTAAGATCCAGAGCTGTAGTATAAATCCCGAGTATGGCCTTAATGTGATGATCACATCCGCTCACTCGCAGTGCTAGGCTGAGTATTCCATCTGGATTTCCGGGGGTCCTGGCTAGTGTTGCATTTCCTTGCGCTTTCTTTGAATTTCGTGTCCCCTCGCTATCCCTAGAAGTATAGATATGGATGTTCGGGGATCCTCATTATATCAGCGTAGGCCAGTAGTAGGGCGAAGACAGCGCAGTAGCTCTATTCGACAATCACCCTATTAGCGGCTGTATTAGCGGAGCCTATAGAAAGGAGGGGGACTTACCTTCGTCCTGAAGAAAAACACCAAACGCTGTTCAATATGTTGCGGCATGCTCTTGACTTACTTAGCTAACCACAACCATTGCACGAGCCACATGCTAACAAGACAGGTGAGCAGAACAGAGATGAATCCATCCTGCCCACCAGCCTTTTCCCTACCTACTCGGGGGCGCAAGCACTACCCACCCCCCATCTGGATTGGCGGGCCCACACGAGGCATCTAGTGAGGCGAGTGCTCACTTTTGGCTGAGCGAGGTGTTGTTCGTCAGGAACACTCGTCCGGTGTGGGAATGAATCTACCACTTCACCTAATACACCGAGGCGCGGGTTTGGGAAAGGCAAGGTATGACATGAGAAGCCCTGCTAACCGCATTAACACCAGAAACGACATCAATGAGGGGGACGATACTTACAGCACAAAACCCCAGATCCCTATAAAAAACCCGGCGGACGCTGTACAAGTACTGCGGGAGCAAGAGCAGCACTAACTTTCCACGGTGGAGAATGATGGAATGTTAACATGCCGTGTTTAGGGGTAGAGCGGACGGTATAGAAGCGAGTGTGTTACCTCCTGTTTCACATATACTAGGGGTATTATATGGTACGGGCAGGGTTTATGCCGAAAGAGAAGGGCGAAAGGACGAGGCAGGGTGAAGTAAAGGGCATAAGCCGGAGCATTGGAGGATGTACATATATGCACATTTCATACATACAATTTTATCCAGTGAAGAAATAATCCCAGGAAAAATGAAAACGAAGTAGGGATTTGCGAGAAGTATATATGTTGGTCAAGATTTAACAATCACTCCAGCAGGGCAGTATCATCCCCCCCCCCCCCCGCGCAAGATATTGCGATAGGTGAGAGGGGCCATTGATAGCACAATGGACGGAGATTTGAGGGATATGACTTGACAAACTAGCCATATTACGAGGAGATATACAAAACAGAGCAAGCACTTATCCAGCCATGCTCCCCGCCTCCCTCCCCCTTCCGCTCATCCTTCCGTCTTCTACGCTAGCCACCCGACACCCCTATCCCGCATAGCACAATCGCATGCAATAACTAAAAAAACTATGATATCCCATTTCACGCAGCACAATCACCGGTAGACCCTATTTGCTCACTTCCTAAGCCTATGGTACGATATTAATAGTCCCAAGCACACTAGATAAAGAGAGGAGTTAAAAATATATTTAAAACCTATTAATAAAGCTCCTCCCCCCCCTCTCCCTATCTGTTCCCCCACGTTTCCCTTCCGCTCCGCTCCCCTGTCCCGACCTGCCCTACCCTGCCATAATCCCGCCCACCACCGGCCAGCAAACATCTGAAACAGCAACACACCCACCCACCCACCAGGTTTTGAGATAGAGAGGGGGAGAGGAGCAAACAAGCGAACCAATGAACGGCAATACGTACTTTTCCGGAAAAGGAAAATAGCAACGTCAACTCCAGAGTGAAATAAGAAATACAAACAGAACACACCACCACCCGTTCATAAAGTATGAAGAGGAAGAAAAAAGGAAAATAACAAAGAAAAGCGGAAATGTACAGAAGCTGTTAAGTTTTGAGTCTCATGAACGTCGTGAATGAGGAAGTAATTTAAGAATCATCATCTTCAAGTTCGTCCTCATGGACAATTCTAAGGGTTTCTTCAATGAGGAGAAGATCGTGCTCGATCATTTCTGCCCAGTTCTGAATGTCACCGATTTCCTACAAAAGTTAGCAAATTGTTCTGGGAGCTTGTGGGAAGGAATAAAAACAAACCTTCAACTTGGTTCTAGCTCCATCTGCCATGCCGCTCCATTGACGTGTAGTCTTCCCGAGGGCAGCGGTGCGGTTCCTCAGGGTCTTGCTTTGACTCTCAAGAGCATTGGCGTTGGAGTGAATGTTGGTTATGCGTTCACGGAGCTCCATATCAACGGATGCCCCGAGGGTGTGGAGCTCTTGTGTGAGGGTTTGCCGGGCCTCATCTATTCCACCTCGATCGTTAGCATAATGAAAGGATTTGACAGTGAATTGGCAGAGAGACAACGCACCAGCGCGCTTGAACCGGTCCTTTCTGATGAGTGCATCTTCCTTGATAAGCCTTGAAGCCATTGCAGACTATTACGTGGATTGATGGTATAGGATAGAATAGAGTATGGATCGATAGATGGACAGAAAGCTTGCGTTGGCAGAGAACGTGCGATTGATGATGAGGAAAAAACGAAGGTAAAGGGCGAAACCCCCAGCTTAGATAAAGGACCGTATTCCCCCCTCTCCTCCTCCTCCTCCGTTTCCTCCTTCCTTCCCCCCTTCTAGCCCTCAATTCCCTTCCCCACCACTCTCCTGGAAGCTAGGTCTCGTTATCGCCTTAACTCTCGTCTCGGACCAAACAGAGCATGCCAACACAGCAATTGCCCGTTCATCCACACCCTCGAATTGATCGTGGGGGAAAGCAAGGCCAAATCCACCCGGCAAGGCTCCAATGCAACGACGCCTAGTGGAACGAGCAAGAAAATGAGGCGGAAGGTGTGGTAGTGGTGACGATAACTAGAAGTATGCGTTGGCAATGGAGCAAACCAAACTAGCTGACGATGGAGGCTATCTGCAACGAGGGTGGTGCCACGGCGATATCAGGTATTACGGCGGTGGGGGTGCGTGCCTGCAAAGAACGAATGCGTCAACGGGATCAACCTCAAATTCTTTGATTGAAGCCCTCTCCACCAAGGCAGGTAGGCACGACTCCGGATAATGCAAACCCACGTCACCCAAGATGTGGGGAAAGGGCCTAACATCAGATGGCGGGGGGGGAGGGATGCAAGGGCATGGGTAGAAAGGGTGGGGGAGGGTGTAGCATAATGACATAAATTGACATCTTTAGGCGGTAGAACGAGCGAAGGAAGGGGGAAGTGGGGAAAGGAGGAGGGGAGGACAGACAAATGCAGAAAATCCCAGTTGCAGATAAGTTTGCGTGGTCGCCTCTGATTCGAGCCAGCTGTGCAACGAAGAAATTGGTGTGAAGGCGGCAGTTTGGGAGGAAGCGAGTACAGTACTGTACCGTAGTCAAACCTAGGAGCCGTTGAACTGTGGCGGTATCATACAGAGGGGAGATGAGCTATGTGGCGGTGCTAGCATCAGAATTCTGCATGGAGATGAGCCTCATCTCGTCGGTTTCAGATGAGCCTCATCGCAAGATTCGTTAAATATACTGTAGAGTTGGGGAAACCGGGAGCCAATGAGATGTAACAGATCTGGTGATTGGGTCGGAGAGGTACTAGTTTCTGGGGATCATTTTTCTTTCGGGAGCTGAAAGAGGTTGTTGCTACGGAAAATCGTTTTTCCGGCCCGAGATAAGACTGGGAAGTTGGCTTGATCCTCGGGTGTCTGTGGGTGGGCGGAGGGGACGTCGTATCCCAGATTCTAGAGTAGATACTCTATCGAGTCTTCCAAGATAGCAACCAGAGATAAAGAAGGATGACCGCAGGGTCATATATAGACTCCCGGTAAATTTTCACACCGGTAGATAAAGGGTTCGGAGTTACACTCAATTTGCCCTCCCTATATAACATTCCCACCCCCTCTCCACCTGAGACTCCAACTTTGCTAATTCTTGTGCACCACACCCTACCCACCCACTTACTGTCCCCGGTACGATAGCAACATATACCAGTCGAAACGTTCAACCTTTACCCCACTGCCAGCTCACTCGAGCTTGATGCAAGCCCCCAACTTAGTCCCACCCCCTCTAGAGTAGGTAGATATAGTACCTCTATGCGCCGTGACTGATGCATGCGAAAAAGGACGAATAGGAAACCCCGAAATAGTAGCCTCGATAACTTCTAGTTCAATAGACGTAGCTAAAACCCAAACCCCGAAATACAACCCAACCGAATCCGATCGCTCCCAATGTACAGTCAACCCTAATCCCTCTCCGCAACAACAGCCTCCAACTCTGTGACCCTCTTCTCAACATCTGGCACAGCTCTAAGCTGGATTTCAATCTCTTCCTTCTCGTCTTCAAGCTTTAACCTCTTCTCCGCATCCAGCTTGGTAAACACGTACCCACCTTGGCCATCGAACTGTAGAATATTGGTGTGATATTTCCACAGACTTCTGCGGTGACTGACGGTAATGAGAGTGATTCCTAGGCTCTTTGCGGTCTCGTACATGATGCGCTCCGTGTCCAAGTCTTGAGATGAGGTGCATTCGTCTAGGATGGCACTGTGAAGGGTTAGCCTTGCATGGCGCGAGACTAGAGTAAGAGGGGAGCAACTATTTGGGCGCATGATAGAACAGTCTGGCCATGGCAACGCGCTGCTGGATACCGCCGCTCCAGACGTCACGCCATTCCTTCTCAGCTTCCCAACCACCCTCTTTCTCAACTAAGTTTTCAATCTCAACGACCCGTAGAATCTCGTACAAAGCCTCGTCTGTCACACCTCGGCGAACCTGCTCAAGTTTGCTATCAGGGTAGATAATCTGCTGTCGTAGTGTCCCACGGCTAAGGTATGGTCTCTGCGGAATGTAAAAGATCTCCTCGCTGGGTGGCTTGCGAACGGTTCCGCCATAGACAGGCCATAGGCCTCCCATGATTCTGAAAAGCGAGGACTTACCACAGCCGTTGGGGCCAACAATGAGGAGGTGCTCGTCAGACTTTACCGTGAACGATAGCTTCTTGAGTAAGACATCACCATTGGGAGAGACGATAGGAACATCGGTAAACTCGATATCCGGACCGGTAGTAACTTTTCCGCGTCCGCGGAGCACAGCTGCATTCTCCTCGGTACCTGCGGAGGAAACAAGTTTCTTTTCAAAATGGCCGTTCTGAATATCCTCTATGACATTCAGAAGAGTAGATACTCGTGAGGTATAACCGGCCAGTTCAGTAATCTCCTTGTAAGAGAACATAACTCTTCCAAAGGCATCCGAAGAAGATAATAGCAAGCGACGATTAGTGACGAAGCCTATGGGAATCAGCAAAACTCAATCACGCCAAGCCCCAGGGCCTTCATACTTTCGGTGCGGTCGCCCAACGAATTTCCTCTGGCACCAGGCACCTTGAAGAACACCGGCACAGAGCAAAGCATAAGTCCCAAAGCCCCCCAGAAGTATTTGATGACAAAGTCTTCCATCATCCCATGATATAACCGCCTTCGCAAGATGTAATTCACATGCTTGATCAATGTGAAGTACCCTTTATCTAGCGTGGTCTTCTCGGCATCATGCCCACCGTACAGCGCTATCTCCTCAGAATTATCTATTAATCTCGAATGACTGAACCTATACTCTCCTTCTAACCTCGCTTCATCCGCAACATATCTTCCAAACGGCGGGGTGAGCACCCTCATAACGTTCGCAGAAACCTGGACCAGTAAAGCCATAGCAAACAGCCCCTCCCCACCAACGTTCCTTGACAACTGGTAATTATAAATCATCATATCGAGCACCGGCTTCGCGAGGTTGGAGTACAACTCCGCCAGCGAGTTCGAAAATTTCGATACATCAACCGTGATGAGTTGATCCGCATTCTTAATGCGATCGTCCAAATTTCCCAAAGTGTAGAAAGTCATCTGCGACAAGTACTTTGAATGAATGTACTGCGTCAACCTAGTCCGGTACTGCAACGCCAGTTTGCATTGATGATAAGACAGCATCGAATTCGTAAACGTCGCGGGAACCGCTACCACCATCCACCAGACAATCCCTAACAAAAAGTCCTTCCCTTTACCCCGTACCAGAGCGCTAACCAACTTCCCGTCCAACTCGGCGACATACAAACTTATCAATGTTCTCACGATGAGGAAGAAAGTATGACTGACGAGCAGCCGAAGCTCCTTGCTCCGTACACCTGGGATAACAATCTTCAACAGCTTGAATAGGTTTTGGAAGAACTCGCGATTGAGTTCTGCCTTCTTTCGCTTTGCGCTGGGAGTCTCCGGAGCGGGTCGGGGGCGGTCCCCTTGCCGAGCGGCGGCTGCCTTCTGTTCGTTGATGGCATTGCGGACACGATTGACGAGCGCGATGAATAGTGTTAGGTAGACCCCCCGGGATATTTTTTTCCGGTGTTTTACGTAGAGGGAGGAGAGGTGTGAGAGGAGATAGGTGAGCGATCGATCGGATGGCAGCGGGAGTTTTGACTGGGCCGCCATGGGGGATTGCCGAGGTGTGAAAGCTATGGCTGTAGGAAATGAGGAGAATATCACGAGGAGAGAGGAATCGAATCGGACCTGCGCCCGTATATTATGCGGTTGGTGCAGAAGGGAGAAGAGGAACGTTATTCTTGTCACCGGTAGATCGAAGGCGTGAATCCGGGGTAATATGGTGTTGAACCAGCACCAGCATGTGATTGAAGGCTGAGAGCCAAGATGTCCGCCTACCGAGGGTTATTAGAGACCACTTGGCGGTGCATCAGATTCGGTCATAGCATACTCGTACAAGTACTATTGTAGTACTAGTCTAACGGCTTGGAAGCTTTACCATCGAGCAAAGACCGCAAGTATCCCAGATTTTTGTCATTGGGGTTTCTCATGTACTTATAATGCCACACTCGAGCAGAATACCGATAGTCTATGGTGTACGGTAGCATGATGATTAAGCATAGTGACATCTCACATTCTCTCTCTTTACAAGTACCCGCACTGTGAAAAAGCGCAGTACGACACCATTATAACTTCTGATTTCAACCTAAACGCGATTCCCGCTCGCGCAAACACGATAACTTTACATGATCAAATGGTATGCACTAAGGATATGAAAAGGACCCCTCCCGCTGCGAGATGACAGTAGACCAAACACAGATGGTAGTAGAAAAAGGCGCCTCCACCCAGACCCCCAAAGAAAGATACCTCCCAACTATCTAAGCATCCGATAGAACCGCGGTCATAAACCGTCAACTTCATCCCACTAGTGTGGTTTTTTTCTTCTTTTTCCGCTTATATTCCCGAAGAATTTTTACCCAACCAAATGTGAATGAAGAGAGCATCGAAAGAGAATAGAGAGAAAAGAGGGTAAAGGAAAGAAAAGAATCAATGAGTAAAAGTACATTAGATCCCTTGGGGCCTTTTATTAGTTCACAGCTATGGAGGCTACTCCACGACAAGTGTGCCGCCATTGGATCCAAGACTCCCGACAACGGAGACGGCGCCCACTTTTTGAGGGACAGCTTCAACATCACCATTGATGGTAATAACCCCATTTGCCTGGGCTCCGGAAATAGGGAGCTTAGCCCTCTCGGCATCGAAAATGGCAGCTTCGCCACCCATATTGGCGGAAGTATACTTAGCTCTGAAGGTGGATACGGCGGGGATATTTGCCTTGAATCTAGAGAAACGTCAGCAATAATAAATGATACATTGGAATTTAGTAGCAACCTCTCTTCCTGGGTGCCATAGGCGCGGGGGGTAAGCTTGATGACTGTGTGGAGGGGAATTTCCATCCACGGGGATTGGTCTTGAGGCACATTCATGAAATACGCATAAATGCAACGAAGGATTGCTTGGTGAGTAACGACCATAATATCGGAACCTCTCTCCATTTCCATAATAATAGGCTCCAATCTGATGACTACATCACGATAAGACTCTCCTCCCTGGTAGCGATAATTGTATCTGTAACCCATCTGTCAATAAAGGTCGTAAACTAGTGCCGAGAAGTCCTTACTTGTCATCATCACGAGCACGGAAATCTTCGGGATATTTTTTCTCAATCTCCTTGTAGGTTAACCCGTCACAAACCCCAGCATCCAATTCGTCCAAAGCCTTCCACTGCTTCTTCGGATAGGTCAAGTGCTTGGCTGTTTGGATAGTCCTCTTCATAGTCGATGTCCAGAGGGTGATATCCTTGTCCCCAACAGAGTCCTTCACCAACCCGGGTAGCGCTTCTGCATAAGCCAATCCGCGTGGTGAGAGACTAGCATCGCCGCCAAGTTTTCCGAGAACATTGAACTCAGATTCACCATGCTGTAACAGAAATTAGCGACAGATTCAAACACAAGAAAGGCCCCCACATACGCGAGATAACCAAATCGAGCGTGGTGTTATGTGCAAGTTCATTGCAAAGTAGATGATGCGTGTCTGTAAATAGTTCGACACCTGGTTTATGATGACTTGAGAGCTAACATTTATCAACTTGACGTAGGTAAGATGAGGTTCATCGATAGTCTCGTAAACCTTCTCGTAATTGCGAATCCTATCTCTGAAATCCCGGGCTGCGACTTCAGGGTCTTGCCCAACGTAGTCCGGAGAGGTAGTCTTAACCTCCAGGATGTTGTTCATGATTAAATCTTCATCATCGCATTTACTCTCCACGAACATGACATCGTAGCCCTTAGACTTGCAACGTTCCTCGATCCAAGCCCTTCGGCTACGAGTCGAGTTGGTAGCATCAAGAATACCGACATGCCCTCCCTCATGTTCGAACCAACGCAACATGTCATTAACAGCAGCCTCTGCGGCAGCGCGACGAAGGCGTTCCCCCTCCAGGTTCCCAGTGTCAAAGAAATCGGCGGTCGGGTGTGGGGTATCGGCACGACGGTAGGAACCAACATTGAATGACTTGGCATTAACCGAGAGCCACTTCAGGTAACGGACAACTATAGACAATCCGGTTAGCAAGCGGTAACAATCTCAGAAAAACCAACACTTTAATTTAGCCATCGGTGTAGTAAATATGAGACAGTGCCAGGCACCGCAGAGGCAGAAGAACAGGAGGCATCCTCGGCAAAACGGAAAAAACATGTAGAGGGGCTCAAAAATTTGATGTGAAGCTGGGGGTAACAAATCTCGCAAGAATTCATCCCAAGACACCCGCACCAGCCGAGAAGCTAGCAAATGTGTGCTGAAGCTTAAATTGAAGCCCGCAGAAAACAGAAAAAAGGGATTAGGGGATTTTTTTTACTCACTTTTTTGAGCAATTAAGCTCTTACCCCTGGCTGGTAGTCCTACCATAACCACACAAATGTGAGAGTCCTCTATCTGCTCAAACCCGAAATTAGAAGCCATTCCACCAGCAATAACATCGTCCCCAGGATGATCCCCTTCTGCATGTTTGTCATGTAGAAGGTGAATAAAAACCATGGGTTCAGTTCCGAGAGTAAAGGGCGCCATTTCAAAAAAATAAATTGCACAACGAAGACTTTTCTGAAAAAGACCAACGAAAAGATCAAGAGGGGGCAATAAAGCAGATATAAAAGTAGGTGGGAAAAAGAAGAAGGCCAAAAGCTGCCCTCAACAGACAGCTGCAGAGGTCGCGGGGCAGGCACTTGAAATGACTGGCGATTGCGGATGTCTGGGGGATGGGAAGGAAAGAGAGAGGGAGAGAGAGAGACGAAGTGAACAAGAAAAGCTTCGTGGACGTTTGGGAGCCAAAGGTTGGGCCGCCCGCTTGCGGTGTCACTGGGCGGACGGGCGGACGACGGGGTGAGGTGACTGAATTTTGGGGGGAGACACAAATTTCTTGTGTGTGGTAGAGAATGTAATGTAATTTCTCCGTGGGACGACGAGCGCAGGGCGACGGGGTTCGGAAGGGGTTCAGGGAAAATGACCCCCTGAGATTCCGTAAAGCTAACTCAATGGTCTGTGAACCTTGCAATAAGCTTGCAGAGCTAGTGGGGATCGTGATCGAGGGGCGTAACGCTGCCAAGTGTGAGATGTCCTTAAGCCCGTGTATTACTATCGTGAGTGCTCCAGGCTTCGCGGTTTCGAGGTCGTATGCAAGCGCCGCCCCAGGAACAAGGAAGGGCGAATAGAAAGTTCGATTGGAACTCAGCCCACCGGCGTATGATAATTGCGTGTGACTGTCAAGCTCATATCTCTGAAGTCCAAGCAGAGAGGTATGGACGACGAATGACGGACTTCCCAATTGACTACCGGTATCTGCAGTAGGATTTTGAATTGGAAAATTGTTCGATATTTCCTCCTTCCTCCAAGTTTTTCTGGCCCGTAATTACCGCTCCCCCCGGCGTGCTGGCAGTGATGAAAATTTCCTTTCCGCTCGCGTGGTTCCCTTTCCTATCCAGCCCTGGTACTGCCTGTGCATGTTGAGGGAGGTAGTTTGCCGAATTCGCCGAATCTCGGGAAGCTTGGACCCCTCCAAATTTCCTACAACCCTGACCATACAAAAGCTGCGGGGATGTGATAGAAAAGACATACAACGGATGAATGGTATGGGAACCCGTCACATGAGGGGAACCACACGACATGCAGGGACGTAGAAAAAGCGCAGATGATAGTAAGGAAAAAAAGGGAGAACTTACATTGGACATACTATACACGGACCGAGGAAAGGTATGCATGATGACAACGAGGGCAGCGGCAAGTTGCGGTGTTTCTGCTATCTGTGGATTGAGGTGTTGACTAGGAATGAGGTTAATTCAAGTATTTCGGCTCCGGGCGGATGAATGAGAGGGACTAAAGGTGATTTGGGTGAAAGAGAGAAGGGAAAGGGCTAGCGGAAGTGGAATGGAACAGAGTAATAATGGCAGCAACACAAAACACAAAAAGGGAGGACGTGGGTTGCGGGGACGAGGGTTTGGACGGTCGTTTTGGAGAATGGGCTGGGCGGATGAAATGAATGGATAGAGGTTCGTTTGTTTGAAGGGGAGGGCAGGGAGGATAGGTAGGTATACTGGGGTGGTGGAAGAATTTATCTAGGTGTGGAAGGGAAAGGTACTCGAGTAAATGCAATGGGCTGTCCCTTCACAAGCAATTCCGTAAGTTGGTGAGATGATAAGATTATGATACCTGCGGTAGAGTATAGCAGATGCGAGATAGCGAAGTCCATAGCTACGATCACTGGTAATTGTTTTCCCTCCTGGTTCGTTAGAAGACAATCAAGTTGGTTGAGCCTCCTTCCTAGAGTACGATTAAGGGCAAGGTCCCCCACCATATCCGATCAAATTCATGCCTCTTTTTTACAAGGCTTTACCCAAGTATGTAGACTATGATGTGATTAAAAAAAACTCGCGGTGAATTGCTGCCCTTCCCTCCCCCCCGCTGCGAGTTCCGCCTTGATTCAACTCTTGAACGTGGTGAAACCCCACCAAAAATTACACTCTTGACCACCCCCCACGTGATCCATCATCCCATCAAGGGCAATCAGGAGAATGAAATCTCGCATTCCCTCCGGTTCCTGCAGACAAAAGCCGCAAACACGATGGATTCATTTGTCGAACTTCTTTTTTCCTTTGCCTCTTTTCCCTCTCCCACCAAGTCTTACTGGGGTCGTCGTACAGACATACCGGTGTCCAGCACACGCACTTGGATGGAAGCACCCCATAACATACTTGTATCATACTCACCTCGAGTACTGTACCTGTACTTGTACCCCCACTCCGATCTGCATCTACATTTGGTTTGATATGCCTCAAAGAATATTATGGTGATATGTTCCCTGACCCATAAAATGAAAATGTTCGCTCGCCTCAACAGAAACTTGGGAAAAAACGACCAGTCCATCTCTCCAACCCATGATTAACTGTTCCCATGGAATATGTACAAGTCCGAGATAGACAATTCGTATTAAGAAACAAAAAACTTCTCTCTCGTTAATTAAGTCAATCACCCAGTTCTTCGACGAGCTCCAAGCTTTCTCCTAGCAATCCGTATCATTTCCTTTCATCTTTCCATCAGTCGTAACAAGGCGGAAACGATGATTCCACCGATAGCAAAGGCGTACATGACATCCGCCTTGTATTTGTGACCCCCAGCAGTCTTCTGCTCAGGGGCGATGATAATTTGCCCAGGGGCCGCCTGGGGAACAGGCTCGGGAGCTGTGGTAGGGATCGAGTTGACGGTGGCTGGGGATGTGGTTGAGGATGCGGAGGAGTTAGAAGACGTGGAAGTCGACATACTCGCGGCAGAGGGAGGTGCAGTAGTGGTTGCTGCAGCACCACAACCGGGTATTTCTCCATTAATTTGTTCCTCCAACCAACCCTGAACCCCTAGTTCCCGAAAGACATTCTGAACAGCACTGCGATGTCTTGCCTCAAACCATTCCATTGCAGCGTCTTTGGAACTATCCCCCGAAACGCACAGCCAGGTGCGCCAGTTTCCAGTGGAATGGGTGCTTCCGTTGCAGCGAGGTCCAATCTCAAAGTTTTGTTCGTAGTACGGGATTCGGACTAGGGCTGTCGCAGTAGCGAAGGTTACTGAATTGGTCGTCTTCCAATTTACCGAGAAGGAGTTGGCCTCGTTGGTTCGGTCGACGTTTGCCGACATCAGTTCCTCAACGAAGTGGGCACTATCGAAGGCGAATGTACGTCTTGAAGGGTTGTTCGAGGTCACCTGAGGAACCCCCTGCCCTGATATATAATAGCCAGTCGGCCGGTTACTAACGTTATAAAAATGGAATATAAAACTTACATTTTGCGTTGAAGAAATCGCTAGTAGCACCAAACACCTTATCAGGTGTAGCCCCGATAACGAACATAGTGGTTCTGGTCACCAGCTCAGAACCGGGGGGGCAACTAGGACCAGCCTGAGCCAATAAAGGAAAGACGCTAAGGGCAAAAGTAAAGAGAAAAGAAGTCATTGCACCTTCAAAATGTTACAGCTGCCAACAGGAATTGAGAGAAAAGGGGAAAAGAAAAGAGTAGAGAAATAGTATCTACCTGAGCGGCCCAGGAAATGTGCGACGGGGCACAGGAAAGGGTCCAGCAATCACAGCGAGTGAAGATGACAAGTGCGTCCACAGGCACTATATATGTTTATCCATTATAAAAGGGGAGGAGCGGATGACCATTTACCGGTCGTTAACATGTACCCATAAATATGGTGCTAAGCCAACAATGCACTGGGGCAAGAAAGGACAAGGCCCAGTACAGAGCCCATGAAGTGACAGTAAAGCTCGTACCGGTATTGTAAATAGCCAGAATATGAGTTGTCTTTGCTTTCGTTTGAAGGCCGGAGGGCACCTGTTTACCGGTACCACGTTAAAGCCCGTCCCGTGCCGGGCTCACCGGCGCATAACTTTCCGGTATCAGAGGTGTGATGCCAAACGTCAGGTCCAGAAGAGCGTACTCGTATAACAGTGTCTAGCGCCACTAAGACGCCGGTTTCTTCATTTTGGACACTTTCAGAGCCGAAAAAGGCTCAAAGAGGAAGAATCCTTTTTGTAATGTTCTCGAAGAGGTTCACCCTTTGAACTAACGGGCTAAGAAGGACATGATTGTGGAGTCGCTGGCATCTTGTTCCCTGAATTCATGGGGACCTAAGCAGCGGAGCAAGTTGTCGTAATACCATACCGAAAGGTCCAAATCATGGGGTTAGAGGTGGCAGGTGGATACAATGTGATATACTATGCAGCGGTGTATTTCAAGTACCGTTATCCACCGTAGCGGGCCCAGTTACTCGTTACTCGTACTGTAGCTGGGTTCGCCTCCAAATTCATTGCTTGATGAAAGCTTATCACTTGGGATCTAATCTGATAATAGGGACCCCAGGCGACTGGCTTTCTTAGCGTTGTCAACACTCTTCCCCTCGTCTCCCTGCCTAAGTCAAGTCGCTCCAAACACCGGTTTCAAACATGAACCTTCTCCTTATTCGTCACGGCGAGACGGTTGATAATGTCGCTCATCGATTGTGGGTTCACTCCACCTCCTCCATTCTCCTCCTTCCACAAAATGGGGATCCCTTTTTTCCTAACATATGATTCATACAGTGCAGGAGTGACCGACTCGGCCCTGACACCCAATGGCCTACTTCAAGCAGCCAGGCTGGGGGATTATCTCACCAGCAAGCGCGGGGAAAACTTCACTCTAACACACATATACTCATCAGACCTCCAACGGGCTGCCAAAACCGCCGGAGCAATTCTGGAAGCTCAGTCCGCTGCCATCACCAACGGTGAAAAATCCCTAGTTGCGCTCAGCGGGGGGGGCGAAGGTAACGGCGATAATGCCTCATTGAAGCCAGCAGGAGGTGTCCTGCAGCTGCCGGATCTTCGGGAAATGAACTTTGGCTCGCAGGAGGGCACCCCATACAGACAGGCTTATCCTCCACTACCTGATTTCGGGAATGATAGGGAGACGACCGAGGCCATGGTCGCCCGGGCTAACCGGTTCTTGAGCCAACATCTTCTTCCTGCGCTCGTGACGGTGCATATGGCACCTGACGCATCGCTCGTGAATGTGGCCGTTGCTGTTGTTTCTCACGGTATATTTCTTCAGGTTTTGCGCAAGCAGCTTATGAAGCATCTACGGTACCTGCCAGATTCGAGAAAGGTTAGGTGGAGCAACACAGGGTATTTTCACCTCAAATTTGACCCCCGGACAAAGTGGACGGATAGCCGTGGATTAGAGCTATGGCCATATTCAATTCAAGGTATCGATGTTACTGCCCACCTGGCTGGCACTAAAAAGACTTCTGCCGATGGGACGCAAAGAAAGATTGATGGGTTTTTCAAACCTGGAGAAGGCTCCGCACTCTAGAAGTGATGTACGAGTGGTATGTTTAAGCTCTCCTTCCTTTCTTTTTTCTCCATTATCTATCGTGGGGTGCAACACGAAATGATGAAAACAATATTATTCACACAGACCTGTTCTGAATATATGCATGTGGATGTTGTTTATTGCCAACTGCTGTCTGATCTCCCGTTGCACCCCGTCCCCACCCACCCCTCCACACTTTATGTTTAGGAAACACTGCTGACGTTAGCCACTCCTTAGATCTCCCGATACCCATCCCCACCGAATCTAGCCATCCACCACCAAGATGGCTTAAATCCGACGTACTGACATGACACCCTTCCTGCTCGTACAAGACTTATTTTCTTAAAAGCTTATCACCCAATAAAAGTATGGGGGTACCAATCTCAACACCCCAGACCCTGTTCCT